TGTAATTTTCTCTTCTTCCCCCCCTTCCCTCCCTGTAATCTCTTCTTCTCCCGTAATCTTCTCCCACCTGTGATCTTCTCTCTTCTCCCCCCCTCCTGGTAATCTTCTCTTCTCCACCCCCTCCTGGTAATCTTCTCTTCTTCTCCCTCCTTGTAATATTCTCCTTCCCCCTCCCTTTAATCTTCCTCTTCTTCTCCCCCCTCCCTCCCTCGCCGTCGCCTCCCTCCCCGTGTCTTCTCCCCTCCTGTAATCTTCTCGCTCCCCCTCCTGTAATCTTCTCCCCCCCCTCCACTCCTGTAATCTTCTCCCCCTCCCTCCCTGTAATCATCTCCACTCCCCCCTCCTGTAATCTTCTCCACTCCCCTCCCTCCTGTAATCATCTCACTCCCCCCCTCCCTCTCAATCTTCTCCTCCCCCCTCCTCCGTTAAATCTTCTCCTCTCCCTCTCCCTCCCTTTAATCTTCCTCCACTCCCCCCTCCCTCCCTTTAATCTTTTCCACTCCCCCCCTCCCTCCCTTTGGTCTTCTCCGCTCCCCCTCCCTCCCTTTAATCTTCTCCACTCCCCCCTCCCTCCCTTTAATCTTTTCCACTCCCCCCATCCCTCCCTGTAATCTTCTCCTCACCTCCCCTTCCCTGTAGCGTGGCCGAGCTCCTCTCCGGTCCGCGACCGAGCCGGACTGACAGGAAGTGCACACTGCCTAGTTCGCCTTATAGGAAGCGCCGGCCCTGGATGCCACAGGACACATTCAAAGGTCTTATGGAGTCTATGCCTGGATGCATTCAAGTTGTTTTGGCAGCACAAGGTTAACAATATTAGGCAGGTGTTTGATGTTTTGACTGATCAATGTAGTAACATTGTTGTAATCTAGGTTGAAAAGACTCAAGTCCATCAAGTTCAACCATCCACATATTTGTTTCTGCAGTTGGTTTTTGGTTACTGACATAGGATCTGGACTACTCTAGTACTCATTTCCTAGTCCACTAGCCTCAGACTGACTGACTAGTCTTCAGAATGTCTCTTTATTCTGTACTATGCAGCACCTATGCCAGGCTTCCCAGCTACTGTTTTTGGCATGACAGTCTCTATTTAAAGCCCCAATCTGATAATTCAGATTTTGTTCTCTTTGGTTTCATATCCAGGGACACCAGAGAACTGTCACAAGGAAGCACAGCACTTGCAATAGCACTGTGTGTTGCAGAGAGAAGTTCAGCAGTGCTCTTTACATGGTCTTTTGTTGGTAGCTGGTCAGTGAGGCTGTCAGTCAGCCTGGCATGCTTGATGCCAGGCTGACACTTTTCCAGTCGGTAGACCTGCCCCCTTTCTAGAGGCATTCACCCAATGATGGCTTCACCAGTAAAGCAAGTTGTGCTGCTGACTACAACTCTTAAGGTCAGCCCAGTGATTACACATCCTGATTAGATCACCTGACTTGAGTCTGACATCATTTACCTCTGCCGAGCCGGGCAGACTTCCTCCGAACCGCGGCACACTCTCTCGATCCATGCAGACCTCCTCCTACCACGTTGTCTAACTGAACCACGCGGCCAGAGGACAATAGATGTGGACGTGGCGTCACGCCCACTCTTAAAGTGATCATGTCATCATTGCGATCTGTTTTGGATCGCAGTGATGATGTGGACCTATCAGAATATAAGTAAGCCCATTTAAGGTTTGTTTAAGTCCCCATTAATTGCCCTATCGTGGTTTCTGTTAGAGCTTCCCTTGTGATTCACTGTGTTTGACCTCGGTTTCGTATTTGACTTGTGATTTCTGGTATCCTGACCTTGGCTTCGTATCTGACTTGTGATTTCTGGTATTCTGACCTGGCTTTGTCTTGACTCCCAGTATTTCTATTATCCTGTCCTTGATTTATCTTGACCCTGTTTCTTATTGTATTATATGGTAAGTCCGGCCATTTTAAGGCTTGATAATACGTCTTTTGGATCCACTTTTTGTGGGTTTCCTCTTTCATGCATGTTGGAGTACGTGGCGTTGTGAGGCTGCGCCCCGCCTGGCTAGCGTCTGGTAATACAGGTCAGTGTAGCCTTTTTGGAAAGCCTCTAGGATGCCTTCAGGAAGCCTGGTGACGCTATGTCCCCTAGTTTGTATGTTGTGGATGTGTTGTTTCCTCCTCTTCTCCTTGAGCATCCGAGCCAGCAATCGCCTGCTTTTGTTAGAGTGCTCATAGAAAAATCTGTCTGACTTACGTATGGTGTGTAGTAGCCCCTGAGATAGAAGGTCTCTGAGTTCCCTGCAGACCTCTGTGAGGCGTAGGTATGTGCTGTCGTTTAGTGTGTGTTTATGGTCGTGTTCAAGGGCTGGTATGTGTTTTGTCAGGGTGGTCATGTGGTGTGACCTGTCTTTCTTACGTCGGGTGCACACTTCGATAAAATGTCTTGGATGATCCATTTGTGTGCTTCCCAAAGCGTCAGCGGGGGCATGTCTGGTGAGTCGAAGTAGTGGTTGGGGGTATGGGCAGGTGGGTCAGTGAACTCTGCGTCATTCAGTAAGCTTATGTTAAGTTTCCAGTGGCATTATCTAGGTTTATATAGAGTTGAGCAGGTGCTAACCATCACTGGTGTGTGGTCTGTATGACCTATGATTCCTATATCTGAACCTTGGAGTAGTGTCAGGAATTCTTGTGCAATGAGAATATAGTCTATACGACTGTAGTGTTTGTGAACGGCCATGTTATAGGTGAAATCCCGATTGCCGGATGCGCTGCCCTCCAGCAATCCTCCAGCCCCAACCGACCCAATGATCTAAGGACAGACCGGAGACAATGTGAGGGGGCTGTACTGGAACCTCTAGAGGAATTCAGGTCTGGGTCTAAGGACATGTTGAGGTCTCTCGCCACTATCAGCAAACGGTCTCTGAACTTTTCTAGCTTGGTCAGTGAGTTGGCCACAAATAAACATGTTGTTTTTTATTAGGGCAGTAAAGGCAAGCGAAGGTGTAGGTATGTTCAGCTATGGTTCCCCCGAGAAAGAGAAACCTCCCGCCAGGGTCAATTAATTGCAGAGGAATGAGATGTTTTGGGTGAAGATTCTCGCTATTCCAGCCTTTCTTGAATCCGGGTGATTAGCATAAAAACCAATAGGGAAGTGAATATTCTCTTGGCCCCTGAAATGCGTCTCCTGCAGGAACGCTATGGGCGCTCTCGACGTCCACATCCTCCTGAGAAGATGGGAGCGCTTCTCAGGGGCATTAAGGCCTCAGACATTGTTAGAATAGTACTTAAGGTGTGCCAGTTGGAAGCCTATCCGACCATCGCAGAAGGGGATGGGAGTCACCAGGACAAGTGAGAAAGAAAAAAGGGGAAGGGGGAGGTAGGTAAAAGAGGGGGGGAGAAAAGGGAAGGTGAGTGCACCTGAAGTGTGTTCTGGTGTGTTATAGGTTATGCAACGTCGATCCTAGATCGAGTTGAGTCATTCAGAGGGGGAGAGGTTGCCCACCCCAATGAACCCCGGTCATACTTACAGAGTGGGTCAGTTGCGAGGAGGATCGGGAAGGCCACCAACGGTGGTGGTGCCATCACTATAGGGATGTGTCCGTGTTTCTGTCACCTGTGGCTCTCAACCCGCGGGAAGCAGCTCTAGTAGTGGTGCACATGTGAGTGTCTATAAGCTTGCTGAAGGGGAATCTAACCATACTTGTATAAGTCAGGGCACGTATATAAGCAGAAGGCCCTCTCCATCTCTGGGTGTCCTCCGTGGTGGGGCAACATTGTATGCGTGTGACCCCGACAGCCCTCCGCCCGCACCTGCCCCCCAACCCCTTTCACCCACCAGGCCACATGTGTTAGTGCTCTCGGGGGCCTGCATGGTGGATACTGTATCCAAAACCCAGAGGGCATCGCCCCGTCACCCCCTCCCATCCTCAGGCGTCCAGGCCATACCCTACGGTTAAAGTGTTAGCTCGGGCTCGTGTCCCTGGCTGCGTATGTGTCTGTCGGCATGTAATAACAAAAACAGCAACTTTGCAAACGATGTACATTACCCTCTAGGCCTCCCGGTGGCTGCGCCCTTTGTCTGCTGGCTATGTGGGCTAGTGGTCTAGCGGCGTGTGAGGGTGGTATGGGCGCCGTGGGTGTGAGGCCCCCACCCATCCCCCTCCCACACCTGCGCCCACCACCCCACCAGCTCCCTGCCCCTCTGTCTCCACCAGGTAGTGACCTATCTGCATGTGGAGGTTTGCAAACATCCAAGGCCTGATGCTGTCTAGACCCTCCGGGCCTACGTTGTGCGGAAAGCTGTGTGATGCCCATCGGTCACCTGGGTCTCAGGGGGAGTCTGGGGCCAGTCTCCCATTAGCAACCATGTTACCCTATCCCCACCCAAAGCCGGAACCCACAAGGCCCACCCAACCTGTGTCCAGGACATAGCGCTGCCCTTAAACCCACCTCTGCCATCCCAGGGCTATCCCAAGCCATCCCAATCCCTGTCATGGTCCTTTGCAGGAGGGGAGGTGGAGGTGGCAATCAGAGGCCTCAAGCAACCAGGCTGGAGTGTTAGAAATCGAGCCGGCAAAGAGTACATCCGCTATAAGTGTAAGTGGGCGGGAGTATATCTAGCCCATAGCAACCCTGCATTGCGTCACCTAACTCTTCCGGGCCACTTGTGCCTCCTCTGCTTCGCTGAGGCCTAGCCACGAGTTCTCCATGGATGTTATGTGCTGCCTATGTGGGTCCGGTGGCACGTGCCGGTGGGCCATCGAAGATCCAATTTGGAATAGTTACATGCAGCAGGCCGGTTGACCGAGGAAGTGTGGGACATCATTTGGCCAACGGATGATTTGCCAGTGATTGCCCACTTTGGCCTGTAGGCTGAATGGGAACCCCCATTTATACATGATCCTCTTCTCTTGCAGTAGGCGAGTTATTGGTCTCAGGGCCGGGAGTATCCAGGGTAAGTGTTGACAAGTCCTGATAAAGAGAGACTTGAGTATTTATGAACCACAATTCTTTGCTGTGCTCTAGCCGCCCTAATTAGCTATTCTTTCAGCTGGAATGAAAGTAGGCAGCATCCGATGTCTCTGGGTAGGCCATCTCTTCTGGGGGCCCACAAGGCCCGGTATGCACTCTCGATACTGAAGTCAGGCAGGGCCTCTTCTCTGAGCAATTGGGAGAACAGGCTTGTAAGGAGCTCATGTGGCGATTCCCCTCCATACGTAAATTATTCCAACTGCCTCTGTTGTTGAGGTCCTCAACTTGGCGCCGAAGGTCGAGGATGATATTGTCTTGCCTGGTAGCAGCAAAGTCAGTGGCCTGGCGGTGTTGTATCGATTGCAGGCGGTCAACTTCTAGGTCGTCCACCCATTGCTCAAGTGCAGCTAAGTCATTGCGGACCGCTGTGATTTCCTCTCGGATAATGGACCAGAGCTCGGCCACCATTTTGACCTTGTCCCTTTGGGTAAGCATACTCATAGAGATGACCGCCAAGTCAGCAGATATTTGGGTGAGTGCATCCCCAGCCGGAGAGCCCTGTGTCGAGCCTGCCATGCTCATGGACCCGGGTCAGGAGGACGCCATTTTATCCTGGTCCTGGGTTCCACGTAGGCCCTGCGGCATGGATAAAAAATCATCCATGGGACAGGGTTGCTGTTGTGGTTGAGCCACATGTGCAGGCCCTGGGGCAGCTGCCCATTTTGTTTTCCCCATTTATGCAACAGTAAACGCTGATTTTCAAGGCTGTTACTTGTTGGGGCCTAGGAGCTCGAGCAACATGCATCCTACTCCATTAGTAGCCAAGCCATGCCCCCCCTGTGGATCCCAGCCACAGAGTTGGCATACCTGTTGGCTTGCATAAATCAAGAGATCTAGGCCCGAGAGCCACAAGTTCCTTTGTAAAGGCAATAGAAAGCACATTGCAGACAGAGCTGGATACCTGCCTGGAAGAAGGACTGCAGTGGAATAGGCAGAGGGGACAATACCTGCCTGGAAGGAGAGCTGCAGCCTGGTTGGGTGGAAAACCACTGCGACTGGGGCAAAAGAGCTGCAGTTTTCTCCAGTTCCAGCTAGGAAACGATCCTGGGCAGAGCTGAATGCCAGAGACCTATGGTCCTGAACAAGGTCTGTGATACCCCAGTGGTTGCTCCTAATTGCCAAATTGGGGTGGAATTGCTGTAAGGGACTGGATTCAGCACTCCAGGAAAATATCTGGCAATATTTGGTCCACTGGCTATAGCTGAGAACCGGATAGTGGATCTGAAGGACCTCCATGGCTTGGTCCAACACACAATATGGCAACAGGCAATGTTAATGCTTCCCTTTTTATGGATAGGCGCAATGTTGCTTTTGCGATTCAGAGTTTATTGCAGGGCACGGCCAATACTTGTATCCGTCTGTGCATTGACAAAGAGACAGAGGGTATATAAATGGTGTAGTACGTTACATCAATTGTACAGATAGTTAAGTATATAGAGAACTAACTCACACTTTTATGAGCTACAAAGAGCTCTCCTGTGTAGCACTTGGACGGTGCAATCCCCGTCTCAGGATGTATGTAGATCAACAGTCTTGTATATCCAATATACTTCCAACATATGAAACAAAGCAGAAATGATCTGATAGTGTAGTATGTAAGTATATAATAAATAATACACAAGGAAAGTTTCCTACTTACACTTTGAAGAGCAATAAACTTGCTCTGGTGATATAAAGCCTTGGTGGTATAATCCCCACTTGGGATATACAGGAACCAGGATAGTTGTTCAGCAGCAAAACAACAAATAGGACTTAATATTATAAACAATAAATTTTACTCAAATATATGGTTCATAAAAGTAATATTACAAATAAATAAAATACTAATATCAATATATATAGCTCTCTAAGGTCACACTTAACGCGTTTCTCCCAGCAGGGCTTCCTCAGAAGTGCATCTGGATCTCCTCCATGAATCGGATGATCAGTCCCATCCACTGATCTTGAATGGGTCATTGTGTGTTCTGTTTTTTCTATTTTGTGTATTCTTTGCTACTATTGGTGGACGGTAAAGAAATGTTTGCCTCTGTGTTTTTTATAAAACCATGACTAAAAGATCATGTCATTTTTTGCCTGTTACTAATAATTGTGTAATAATTGTGAAGATTTATTTTACAAATCATACTAAAAAATATGTTAACTATATATAGTAAAAACAGAAAATCCAGCGCACTCCATTATCCCCTAAACAGCAACTTCAGTGCTGACAGATTTAGTTAGTTTTTTTTTTTTTTAAACACCTAATCCATGCAAAAGATAATGGGGGGTTTAGTTACATTATATGATCATACATTGCATAAGCCTGCCACAACGTCAATGTACCCCATCTTTGGCAGGTCCTACACTACCAGCCTAGTGTCTGCTTCATGAGCTACTTATTTGCGGGAAAAATTCCATCTAGAGTTCTCTACAGGGCTGAATAGGGCCCTGGGATGAGGCACCTGTGACAGGGAGGGGTGCAAAACCAAGGAGTTGGCTAGACTCCCAAATATATATTTATATGGGAAAACAGGGGGCAGGCTTATGCAACTAAACCCCTCATATTTTTTTTTTTGCCTGGATTAGGTAAATAAATCTGTCAGCACTAAAGTTGCTGCTGGATTTTCTGTTTTTATTGTATAAACTGGCTCCCAGCAGCACCCTACTTATGCATATTCAGGTGAGTGTTTTCACAACTATATAGTGAAATTCCACCCCAGTCAAGAGATATACTGAGACAAAGTATGAAATACTTTGTCTCTGTATATATCCTCCACCTGACACCTCTAGACACTGGGTGGGACTACCACCTTCTAGAAGTGTTATTCCCCCAGCTGTCATCAGTGACAGCTGCAGTAAAGTGGCTCTGTATATTGGAGAATCCCGCAAAAAGGGAAAGGTCCATGGAGGTATAACTCACCTTTACCTGCCCCTTCAGTGGAAATGTGACAAATTCTGCTAAGTCCCCAGACAGTGACAGTGCCATTTTAAGCATTTCCAGGTACTGAAGAAAAAAATCATAAACACATTTTTAAAAAGACTGATATATATTGCATCATACATGCTTCTTTTTTGATCCAATCAACATTTCTTAAAGGTATTTCTGTACTGGATAAATTAAGTTGCACATGTTGAACTCAGAGGATTTAGATTTGCCAAACACAACAACATGGAAATAATCTGCAAAGCCTCTTATTACCTTCCTATGATCTTGTGCCAGCACATCATCCCTTAGATTTTGCCAAAAAGGAAAGCTGTAGAGATCCACTATAATCTCCTTCCAACTAGGCCACCAAGGAGGAGACTAGAGTAGAAAGAAATCATTCAACATTCAAGACAATGGCACACCTACAATGAAAATGCATGTGTCAGAGGTATTAAGTTCAGGTCTCACAGTAAAGAATTAAAGAGGAACTCCAAAATGCTAAGATCAGTAAATGTATATATTAAAAAAATATCACACATATCGTACATTTACATCTCTCATTACCTGACATTGATTTCAGTATCTGTGATGAGATAACAAGTATAGACTCAACTATGCACATTCTCATCATTTCACCATATAAAGTAACGTAAACTACTCATTTAGCAAAGCAGTGGTCCAATCCTCAAGGAACACCAAGTGTCCAGGATTTGTCAGAATATTTAGTAGAACAGATCTAGGAAATGCCTACATCCTGGATAGTTTATGTTATTGAAGGCAGGGTAGTAAACCCCTGCTTCTGTATTGCAACTGCAGATGACTTCCCTTAAAGTTGGTGTAGAGATGTATGACACAGTAATAGGAAATGATTACAAATTAAAACTGCTAAAGCTAATGTCCATTATAAGTAATGTAGAGATTCTTTTTAATGTTACTGTGTGAAAATTCGGAGCTCCACAGTCCGCGATTGAAGGGTTGAAGGGTTGATCACAACTCCGAAGCGCAGCATTTCTTCTTTAGCTGCACTGAGTTATTTGTGGAAAAGGGGCCATCATCCTCTGTAAATCATAATGAAATCCTGCAATATTCAGGCCTATGCATCTAACTAGAGAGTTGTCATTAGGAGGTCAAGTAGAACAGAGGCAATCTTCCATCTTTTGAGAGAGCAGGCTCTCTTAAGTAATTTATTGGGGTATCGTTGTCCCCTGAAATTGCTTCTATACCTCTAAGATGAGATTCAAGGACAAAATCTTCATCATTAGAGCAGTTGTGACATGCCATAAGATATTGCCCATAAGCAATACCTCTGTTTTCAGTTTCTCAGACAACTTGGCCAATGAAGGAGACTGTACCAAACAGAAAGTAGAGGAATATAGCTGATGATCTACAGAACAAAAACACAGTACAAGCGTATGATACAGTTAATAATACAGTAAGACTGCGCCAATATGAAATGCACTCGCAAGAGGAAGATTGGTAAAATCGCCTTAGGGTGCCTCCCCTTAGATGGTTTTGGGGTAAATCCAGAGCTCCCTCTCAGCTGATTGATGGAATCACCCCAATATGGAAGTCCAGACTCAGGAAGTAGTAAAAAACGATCTGCTTTATTTATATCTTTATTTATAGATAAAATACAAATGGGTCCTACGTGTTTTTTCTTATGTAAGACTTCCTCAGGGACCCAATAGTAAAAACAAATTTGTGCAGGTAAAAAAACAATCATAATAAAGGACAAATAGCATTATATAACCCTTCCCTCTCAAGTCCTTCCTGAAATATGGTCTTCCTCCAATCTCATTGGTGGTCTGGTGGGTGTCTCCAATGATGTCCAGCTGTTCCAGGGAATCCCCAAAAAATTTCCTGGGTGAAACATACGTCATTGCTTCTGGTTTGTCACTTTCGGTATTCATATCTGAGTGATGTATGCGTTACAACTAGCAGCCATTCTGCTTTCTACCTTTGTGTTTTCTAATTGGCCTTCTTACGCTGATGTAGGTATAACAATTAAGTCCCTGATAAGATTTCAAGTAAGTCTGCAAGGCTCAAAAGCAATATGTATCAGTGTATGTCTATATATCAAACAATAACCAGCTATATCATATACAACTGCCTCAATAAGTATAAATATGAATCTACCCATCAATGATAAGCATAGTAGAAGAATGTCTGTGCCACTAGAAAAGTGGCTGGAATAGGGATACTTCACTTTAAAACATAGAGAACCACTTAAGTTCAAATAAACCATTTAATATCCCATATTTAATATTCGACTGAATTTAGACTAATGTATCCCATGTATAAAAATGTATGATTGCCTTAAACTTGAAATCGTATCCCAAAAAGCTCCAGAGTAACCAAGTTTACTTCTTCAATGAATAACAGCAAATCTAAGAACACAAGCTCCCTATTATGATTCACTAAAGTCAATGTATGGCCTATACTGTTTATGTTTAAGGATCACTATAGGGTCAGGAACACAAACATGTATTCCTGACCCTATAGTGTTAAAACCACCATCTAGCCCCCCTGGGCCTCTCATGCCTCCATAAATATAGTAAAAATCTTGCTGTATTCAAGCCTGAAGCTGTAACTCTGCATGCTATTAGACTCAGAAAAA